TGGCGAATTGGAGTAGCCAGTAACGTTCTGCGTGAACTAGCCTGACCCACTGTGACTAAAGCAGAGCTCAGTCTGTAAACTAAGCTCTCAATATTCAAGTCGATCTTTATCCCTATACTTACCCACGGTCATGAAACGTGGACCATCACTGAAAAACTTCAAACCCGGGTATAAGCTGCTGAAATAGTCTTTCTTAGGCGAGTGGCTTGCCTTACCCGTCTCGACATGGTCCGGGATAGTGACATCCAGAAGAGCCTTGGAATACAGCCTTTGCTCCTCCAGATTGAGAAGTCACAGCTGCGATGGCTTGCGTATGTGTTGCAAATGCCTCCAGAAAGGAAGGCCAAGCAACTGTTCCTTGCAGATCTGACCAGCAAAAGGTCCAGAGAACGGCGAAGATTAACCTAGTGCAAATATGTGAAGGAGTCTGTTCCAGACTGCATTTGTCTTTTGCGGAAGCTCAGACTCTGCGACAGGATCGGGAACGTTGGACACTGTGTGACTCGTCTGCCTCCGCGACCCGAAAAGAGAAGCGGCGATGGAAGATGAAGAAGATGAAGATGGATAGGGACACAAAAAGCAGACAGAAGAGACGAACCAGACGACATTGAAAGGGATGATATCTGGAAAGACCGTCACTGCCGCCACTGATCAAATGACATCAGGGTTGTGCAAAACTGCGCAACATTCTTTAAACTTTTCGAACTGAGGATAAAATTACTGCTACTGCCACCGATCAGTCATTTCTGTCACTATACTTACCTTCCCTTTGGTGATTTATGTACGTTTCCAAGTGGCACTTCATTAGAAGCAGAAAAGTCAGATTGTAGCAAGAGATTCACGCAAGGCCATTAAACGTGCAGCGCAATATCATCATGCATTTTCAGATCAATGCAGTTTAACTACAATGGGTAGAACTCATCGGAAACGACGAAGCATAATCACGTAAACAAAAAACAGATTACACTCGGCCAAACAAGCGTTCGCACTCACCATGTAGCAAACCAGTGGCCGTACCTGAAAAAAACCGACATTTAGCTCTTTGGCAGAATAGCCTCGAGCTAAGTTTCGCCGTGCGTAACTGTCATAGTCCTTGACAATTCGGGCGATGACGTCACTGGTCGATACACCTTCTGTACGCTGAGTTTCGACGAACATGCCCGCGTCACGAAACGGCTGGTACAAATCAACGGAACCGGGCGCCTCGTACGGGATGGCATCGTGGGCGACGAAATCGATCTATGATTGAAAGAATCATGTTTAAGCGGACGTGCCTGTCAGACGAGAAACGAGACGGTCTACTGCCAAGGCCTAACTAAATTGCTGGAAGGTAAAGAAAGCGAGACGATTGCAGTGCAAAGTCAAATCGGGAGATGAAACACACGATGGATCACGCGCAACTCTAGCACCTAGCTTATCGGAGCTTGGCTTACTTTAACACATCTTTATTCATTACGAAAACCAAAATTCCGCACCATCACGCGTCACTGACATATGGTCACGTGGCAGAGAAAAACGATACTGCCTACAACGAGGACGGGTAGCAAAACATACACAGGCCATAGGCGAAAGCTAGTCAATGGAGGCATGGGGGGGGATAAAATCAATGCCTGAAGTACTCGAACCACAGTTTGAGAAATACGCGGCAAATAGCGTAAACCTAAACAAAGAATTTATGCTGGTTAAGCAAGAAGACAAGTCCGCATGAAGTAGGTTAATAAGCACTTATCCAGGGTAGTTCTAGCACATCGGTGCAATGCCAAACTCAGAACTAAAATATGCGGTAGTTAAGTGAACAGCACTACAGGAGACGGAAGTATAGGACTCTGTGCCATAACCAATACCCAAAGGTAGCTGTTGCGATCAAAACATAATCTAACTCTTGGAAAACTCCTGGAAGTTGACACATAAATAAAACAGTAGAGCTGTGCCGCAAAATACGCTATACCAGCCCAACAAAGAGATCGGCATCTGGATTCAAAGAAAGAAGATTCTTGTATGTTGTTTCAGGGTGGAAATGCATCACGGATTACACGATCAAACTCTTCATGATGAACCGCTCAGAGAATCTTAGGACACAGAGAAAGGTTCCAAACAAAATAAACCGGCATCGCCGGAGAAATGCCCGAATGCTGCTGCTGATGTAGCCTAAAAAACAGCGAGCTATGAAAATGAGTAGGCTGACAGAAAACTGTCGAAGGTAGTAGATAACTATTTTAAGCACCCAGCGGTACAAAAACTGTAACGTTGCGGCTAGACTTTTGTTTCGTGTAAACATCATATCAACGGTTCAGTCATGTGACAAAGAGTTTACTGCAGATTACGTATCTGATGTTGACACTATGACAGCTTGAAATTCTATATTTGTCAACTTGTACAATGACTAGACCGAGACTAGAACAGTCCAGAAGCAGCGAGAATGCTGCGAGCTAGAGTTGTACCAAACAAATATTAACATTCAAACAGTCAACAGACGGGAAAAAGAAATGATGCTCTGATGCCTCTGAACTATTTCACACATTCTGTGAAAGCGCTAAACAAGGACTGGCGGTCGATTCATACGCAAATAAAATCATTCTGCAGCATACTATGCATACTTCTCAAATGATGAAAGGCTTATTACGATGGTTCAAAACAGATAAGGCCTAAAGCGAATCCTTTAAAAAATGATATTCTAAATACAAACGCAGACATGGGGACTGACCACCATCGTCCGCACTTATCACAGGAGAGAGCGCTATAAAGGATTACGATAACAATCGCCTAAGGTCGCAACGTACTACGCTACGGCATTCATTAGACAGGGGAAATAAGAAAAACACTGCCAAAGCAACAACAGAATCGAAATTATGCATTTTCTCTTTGCATTGTACCGAAACTGACGAACCAACTGAACACAACATAAGCTACACGTGGATCATAATTCGATAACCAGCCAACCTTCATCTTCCGTAGAAAGTCGAGGTCAACAAACCAAGGCGCGTCGCGGTACACCTCGTCAACATAACGGCAATGACGAACAGCTTCGTAGCGCTCATCTTCAGAAGTCACAGTTTTGCCCTTGTATTTATGCGTTAGCCTATCACCGCACACTAAAAAGATGCGGCATAGAAAAGTCAGAATATGTAACATTTAAGCACCTTACAAGCATGCACTGAAAAAAGACGTGTAAACTAGGATGCACCATTAACGAGCTCAACTGCTACTAAGCCAGGATAGAAATACTGTGACTATAAGCACACCGAAAAACCCCATAAAGTAGATGGCATCCACCTTCACTAATAACGTTATTTTCCTTGCACAATTACCCATTCAATAACCTCTCATTACACATTGTATTTAAAAGCCAATTATTAGGCATGTCAGAATGAGTGGGAGAAAAATCGAATATAGTTCCATGAAATATCAGTGTAATACGCCTTATTTTTATGCGTGGTTCTGCATAGATTCGACGAACCAGGCGCGATAGCGATTAACCCAGAGCGGATTTGTTCACGTACGCTGTGATTTGTGACAAATTTCTCCTTAACATAGCGATACCCTTTCAACAACGCATAGTTGATGATCATGATGCGGTTATGATTAAAGCTAGGAGATTAACGAAT